AAAATAAATTTATTATATATATACATATACATGTATATATATGGTTGGTCAAGAAAATAAAGTAAAAAAAAGGAGCAATGGAGCACATGCGTGCGTACGAGACGAACTGCTGTTGCTTCTACTGTAGTTGTCTATAAGGAAGAAGAAGAAGAAGCAACAGCAGCAACGGAGGGCGGCGATTCTGGCTCATTGGTCAGATAGATATGATGCTTAGCGACGTCACTTCGTTGGATTACACACACGCACATAGGCACGTGTTTGTGCCTTAAATATATAATACGGTAACGTGTGCTGTGTGCATTATATTATATATTATATATATTTTATATAAAAAGCCCAAAGGTACCATACCGTGTACGTGCTCGTGCGTGTGTGTGTGTGTGCGCGCGTGATCGGATCCGACGTACGCACGAGAAAGAGCAAAGAGAGATAGAGAGAGAGAGAGAGAGAGAGAGAGAGAGCTGAATGGAGCTAGTCACTTTTTTTGCATTATTTATTTCATTTTGTTTCGAAGGATTTTTGATGCGAGATGGAGAAATTTGTCAGATTAGTTTTTTTTTGTTAATTTCGCCAAAATACATGTGGGTGGGTTCGCCATGTACTATAGGATTCGATTTTCAGAAGCAACGATAATACGACTTGGGTTCTCTCGTTACGCCACCCTTACACTGGCCCATAACGCGTCGCTCTCTTTACTCTTTCCTCATCTTAGTTCTCTTGAAGAATGGATCGATACGAAGATATTACGAGTACGCAGACACGGGAGTGAAATAGAGCATATTGAACATGCAGCATTCCGACTCAAAGACAACAATTCGACCGCATGCGCGCAAGCCGACGAAATCCTATTAAGGGCTCTACTTGGCGGTAAAGAAGAAAAGTTAAAAACCCCCTCGATCGGGGCACAATAGGGAAAAAGGCACCGCTCATACACATACTTCACTCAAGTGTACGAGACTATAGTATACTAGCGCTCGAATCACATAAATGGTCAATAATAATCGAGAACTAATCCGCGCCGCGCGCGTGCATGATTCTATAATGCGATTTTTCCTTCATTTCTTAAAGACTCTATGATACTGCTGCTGCTGCTGCTACTGCTACTCGCGCCCGAGTTCGAAATTTTTCGATGAGCTCAACGAGCCATTTTATAAACGCTTATGCATATAAACATATGTGTGTGTGTGTGTGTGTTATAGATAAAGAGAGGTTTGGGGTGAAGAGGACGACGACGACTATGGCGGCAACGAGCTGCTCTTGAATTTCCGGCTGGTCGAGTAACAATGACTAAAACGTCTAGAGAGAGAGAGAGAGAGAGAGTAGAGTGAGCGGCGCATGCAGACAAATGAGCATCCCGCCTCCATTGTTCGAGAGACTGTTTTTTCGAGTCTTGTTTGCTGCTGATGCTGCTGCTCATGCCAGTATATAGTTTATAGTTGTGGCATAAGTTCCCTTACCGCTGCTACATAATGCGTGCGTATGTATGTATGAATTTCATGGTGATCTGCTGCCACACAAGCTCGTAGTTTTTACACCGATTGGAGCTTTCTTAATACCTTTCCGAGCTTATATGCACGTGCGCCCTTTCACGCACGTCCCAAAAACAAACCAAAAATTATCGAGAAATTCACAACGATAGATATGGATTAAATTTATAATTTTTGCAAATTGATATCGACTTGTTTTGATTGGGAAATCGGTACCTTTATACGTTATTTGCAGGGATGGCCGCAACGACGATAATGAATTTGCGAAAATGTTTTTAAACAAAAATATTTTAATAGTTTGCAAACTAAGTAAAATTAAATTAAAAAAAAGCTTATAAATTTAAGGAGGCTGTAGCGAAGTTGAAAAAATCTTTAGACCGGAATGAAATTTTAACCACTGATAGTTCATGAAATTACAAGATTTTTGGTAAAAAAAAATTTGGGTTTCCATGCAAATTTGGGAAATAATCAAATTCAAAGTTTAGGCCATTTAACATTGAATCAAATGGGAAGTGGGAGTTGTTAGTGTACTGTGAGCTCAAATTTCTTTACAAGTTAATGTAATTAACATATGTTATAGGAAAATTCATTAGCTTTCAAATGATATAATTATAAATGGGTGTTTTCAGGCAAATAAAAAAGATATTAAGGGTCCAACATTTTTTCCCTATGTTCTTCCATGCTAACGCTGTGCGCTGCGTAACGCATATAGCCTTGCGCATGTAGCGCTTTAATACAGAATCACCTTGCATCGCTACAGCCTCTTTAACCCATAATGTTTAGAAGTACACCTAATAGTAGTTACATTTATTTTTTATTTATTTAAAATATTTTTCAATTAATTAGATGAGCGAGGGTTGATACACGTAATACACAAATTGCTGGTATTTTCACTGGCCCCGTGCAACGGATGAATTCAGTAACCGATGTACCAACATATCCTAAGAAAGAATGTAAACGTGTTATGTATCAAAGCTTTACGGCTAAATTTTTGTTAGTAGGGTAGAACGACCTATTGTGGTGCGTGTGCTATTGTAGCGCACGTCTATTTAGCATACTTAGAAATATTTTTTTGAACTGAAATTCAACAACAATATTCTATGCAGAACACTTATCTAATTTATGCAGAAAAAAATTGTTAAAAAATACAATTAACAATGAACTACAACTAATGTAATTAATGATGTTGTCAAATTGTAATGTTGCGAGTCTCAAAACTTAATGATACGAAGAGTTTACTGCTCGGAAGTGGCTAATACTATGATGGAAAAAAAGTATTTGTGCTCTACTTCAACATACTTTATTTTTAACGATTTATCAATTATTAATTGAGTAATTAACAAATTAAGAAGTTACTGTTTTTTTCCTAATATGGCGCACTCTCGCGGCCTATTATGGCGCACGAGTAGCACATATATACGGCGTTTTCAGATTGTCACGAAATGGTCACTTTACTGATTTTCCTGGAGGAACAACAAACAAGGTGTTGCGGGTTAAGTAGATGAGAGACCTTTTTTGTTGTTCCTCCGGGCAAATTAGTAAAGTGACAATTTCGTGACAATCAGAAAACGCTCTATTGAGGTCTACATTACCCGCGCTGCAATGACATTTGAATTTGAACATGTACTAATTAATCATAAGGTTGTCTGTTAAAAGAGTTTCTTTTCAAAGTGTTACAAACAAAATTTGATTTCTTAAATCAAAGCAATTTATTCAGTTTAAATGTTTTTGTAATTTCTAAAAAAACATTTTCAACAAATGAATTTTTAAATCCATATTAAATGAAGTTTTTATATGTGTAGTATACGTAACCTAAATCATTAGCTTGTGTATTCGAATGATTTGAGTATAAATGTGATGCGCCGCAATTGCTAAGCACATATGTTTCTGCATTTCATACTAAACTTATAATGCGCCATAATCGGACGAGCTATGCGCCACAAAAGACGCAGGTCATCCAATTGCAGCGCAATGTGACTAATTGTTTCACTTCAATTTGGATGAAAATAATTAATTATTTGGTAAAAAAAATAATTTTAATCGAAAGATTATAACTTCACGTTTAATTTGAACTACCATACATGTGATTTTTACAAGGAGATCATTAATTTATTTTGAAAATGGCTTAAGTGCGCCGCAATCACCTATTCTCTCCTAATATTACTTCGATCAAAGTATCTTTAACATTATTATTATACGTAAAATTAACATTAGTATTTTTATTAGACTGTTTGTTATTTCCCAAATTGCTCGGATCCTTGCTCTCGCCTCTTGAAAGCTCACCTTTTTCTTTTGGGTTACAATGAAAGAAAATCACTATCTGATCTTGATAATTTAACTCTAGGTAGTGCCACACGCGCCAACTTTTTTCCCATTTAAATAACATGAGAAAATTATAAAAAAAATGTAACCAAATTAAACAACTTAAATTTGGGTTTAGCGAAGATTTTCACTTCCTGATGGTCCTATTATGAAACCAATGCTTATGCGGACTTTCCGAACCGAATTTCGATTGTGCCCACATATAATATTCTTTAAAAAATTGGGAAAAATGCATGTTAGCATTGTTTTTCGATATTTTATAGCAAAGACATGCGTAAACATTTATCTCAACATTTATCGAACAATTTGATAGTACTACAACCTATTTACGTTAATTAGAACCAAATTTTCATTGAAAAATGAAGGATTAAATTTGTGAACCGTTCAAAGCGGATTCAATACTTGAATTTTCAGAGAACCTTTGAACATCTTTAATTTCGGTTCTAGAGCACTTAAAAAGTTTTTAAAACCACAAAATTAAGGGTAATTTTAGTTGTTATGAATTCTTTCGGAAAATACTACATTAAATAGGACTTAATGTGGAAAGATCTCTACACGCATGGAAAATATAAATATTTAGAAAATAAACTGAAAACATCAAATAATGAAAAAAAATCTTGAAAAATTTAAAAGAAGAGCATGAAAAATAATGTTTTACAATATTGTTAAAAAAATTCAAATTCAAGCAAGTCAAAAATCTAATTGAAAAACAGACATTCAAAATAGAGTGTAACGGAGAATGCCTTGAAGAAGAGCCGGCTAGCTCGTACCACACGAGAAAATAGTTGCAAACCCGCGTTGCACAGTACTACTCGTCGATGCCTTGCTTCAACGAACTCCGGCGATGATCTCACGTTCAGTCTATTATCTCTATATCCCCCTTTTCTCTACTTTGAATGGCTGTTTTTCAATTAAATTTTTGACTTGCTTAAACTAGAATTTTTTAAAAAATTTTTAAAACATTATTTTTCATGCTTTTTTTTCCATGTTTTAAGATTTTTTATTTTTTCATTATTCAATGTTTTCAGTTCATTTTTTAAATATTTATATTTTTATGAGTGTAGAGATCTTCAATAGAAAAAACAAAATTTTTTTCATTTTTTTTAAATTTATTTATTTTAAAAGTATAAATAGTCATCAACATTGAAATGTACTAAAAATATAAAAATACTGCAAATATACGTATCACTATCAAGAGCTTTGGCCTGCAGCGGACAGGCAAATGTGATATAAATCTCGGTTCGTTAGATTAGCGATGATAATTCCACAACATTCAATCGGCAACCGCTTATGTATCAGCTCGTAAAAAGATATTGTTGCCCAGACCTGGAAAAATCTTCTTGATAATTTCTCGCACAGATGCACAAGGCAAACCACACCAAGACGCGAGGTAAACTCATTAATTTTTTTTGGGTGCGCCAACTCGAAGTAATCCTCGTATGTGAGTAGTTTCGCAACCTCATCAGGTCGTAGACGAACCAGATCGTAGATCGACAGACTCGGACTCATCATTGTCTCATTCTTTTCTCTGGCAAACTCCGCCTCGTCATAATAGTAAAATCTTTCGATTCGCAAATAAATCATTACTTTTTTTGCTTCTGTCGCGAACTTCTCGTCATCATACCAATATTCGTCGAGATCTGCCGCCTTCTCAAATAATTCATAGTTATGGAAAAATTTCATGATTGTTAAGGCATCGCTGCAGTCCGGTTCGTAACCTCTATTCTCCAGACGCTCGAAGACTGCCATCAGACCACATGCTAGGGTCAATTTAAATTTATCATCACGAAGCCACTCTGGATAGATAATAAGAAAATTGAAGCTAGACAGATCAGCGCCACGATCAACGAGTGAGTCGACAGCATTCAACATAAGATTTGTCACTGCATACTGCAAAGGTGTTCGACCTAACTTATCCTGAACGTCGATCTCCACCGTCTGCTGGACGTCTTCACAGATCTTCAAGAATATCTCCACCAATTCTTCCAGCTGGTATCTCGTGCAAATAATGTGCAAAGGTGTGAGTCCACTTTTAGTAGCCAAATTCGGATTGGCACCTCTTCTCAAAAGCAGTTCAGTCACTTCTTTAAGGCCACGATCCACCGCATAGTGCAGTGGTGTCTGGTGGAGTTCGTCCCGGGCGTCGATCTGCAGCGGATGATTTCTTCCGTCGCTGAGCTCAAATAACATCTTCATCAAGAAGCTAGCTTCTTCGCAATACATGCAAATAAATTGCAGAGGAGTCGTCCCTCCGTTGCTGGTCGAATTCAAATCGGCACCTTTTTTCATGAGCGATTCGGACAACTTTTTTTTACCTTTGGTCAAAGCTACGTTCAATGGTGTTAGGCCCTGCTCATCTCGAACTTCGAGCTTTACCGTCTGCTTGATGTCGTCGCAAATCTTAAAGAATATTCCCGCAAAGTCATCGTCTATTGTGCTTGACGCGATATGGTGCAGAGCAGTCAAACCCTTCTTGTCTGATAAATTCGGGTCAACTCCTCTTAGTCCAGGCCCCAGCTTCGCAATGGTCAAAAAAATTTTTTTAGTCGAGTTTTTTACACATTCCCATGTAAAATTGCCCGTTGAATCCGAATTTACATGTTGCCAGGCCCAAAAACGTGCCCAAAATTGTTTAAACAAATTTTTTTAAACAAATGGTCAAAATTTATGTTTTTTGACCTGGCAGTACATTTTTTAAGTTAATTGGATCATTTTAAAGAGAAAAGGTCTCTTGACATTTTTCTCTAAAGTTGATAGATTTCGAGTTATTCAACATTTTATGTTGCAAAAAACTCGAAAATGTCCAACTTCGACATTAAAAAAATATGTGAAAAACGTAAAATTTTGATGTTGCCATAGCGTTTTCTTACACTTCAAACATCCCTTTATAAAGTCCCGAAGCGTTTTAGACGATAAAATTGTTGAAAACCTGTTTGTTATCAACTTTTAAATCAGCGAGTTTGACGGTATGGTTAGCCATACGCATTGCTCCCGCAACTTGCGCTTGAAATTTTCATCAATTTTATCGTCTAAAACGCTTCGGGACTTTATAAAGGGATGTTTGAAGTGTAAGAAAACGCTATGGCAACATCAAAATTTTACGTTTTTCACATATTTTTTCAATGTCGAAGTTGGACATTTTCGAGTTTTTTGCAACATAAAATGTTGAATAACTCGAAATCTATCAACTTTAGAGAAAAATGTCAAGAGACCTTTTCTCTTTAAAATGATCCAATTAACTTAAAAAATGTACTGCCAGGTCAAAAAACATAAATTTTGACCATTTGTTTAAAAAAATTTGTTTAAACAATTTTGGGCACGTTTTTGGGCCTGGCAACATGCAAATTCGGATTCAGCGGAAAATTTTACATGGGAATATGTAAAAAACTCGACTAAAAAAATTTTTTTGACCATTGCGAAGCTGGGGCCTGGACTATCTTCTCAGTAGTAACTCGGTTAATTTATTGTGGCTATTGCGCACAGCTAAGTGCAATGGTGTCCGACCCAATTTATTCTGAACGTCGATCTGCACCGTCTGCTGGATGTCGTCACAAATTTGGAAGAACATTTCCGGCAAGTCATCGTCTGTTTCGCGTAACGCGATATAGTGCAAAGCCGTTAATCCCTTCTCGCCGGCCGAATTCGGGTCGGCGCCTCTTCTTAGTAGTAACTCAGTCAATTTCCTGAGACCATTGTCCAGAGCCAAGTGCAATGGTGTGTCACTCCTCTTATCTCGAACTTCGAGCTTTACCGTCTGCTGAATGTCGTCACAAATTTTGAAGAATGTGCCCGCCAAGTCATCGTCTGTTTCGCGTAACGCGATATGGTGCAAAGCCGTGAATCCCTCCTTGTCGGATAAATTCGGGTCGACTCCTCTTCTCAGTAGTAACTCGGTTAATTTCCTGTGGCTATTGCACACAGCTAAGTGCAATGGTGTCCAACCCAACTTATTCTGAACTTCGATCTGCACCGTCTGCTGGATGTCGTCGCAAATTTTGAAGAATGTGCCCGCCAAGTCATCGTCTGTTTCGCGTAACGCGATATGGTGCAAAGCCGTGAATCCCTCCTTGTCGGATAAATTCGGGTCAACTCCTCTTCTCAGTAGTAACTCGGTTAATTTCCTGTGGCTATTGCACACAGCTAAGTGCAATGGTGTCCAACCCAACTCATTCTGAACGTCGATCTGCACCGTCTGCTGGATGTCGTCGCAAATTTTGAAAAATGTTTCCGCCAAGTCATCGTCTATTTGGCGTAACGCAATATGGTGCAGAGCAGTCAAACCCTCCTTGTTGGATAAATTCGGGTCGACTCCTCTTCTCAGTAGCACCTCGGCAATTCGTTTTGTACCCAAGACTAAAGCAGATCGTAGTGGTGTAACACCCGTATTGTCTATGGCATCGACCTGCACCGTCTTGTCGATAGCATCACAAACTTGAAAGAAGATCTCTGCCAAGTCATCATCAACGCCTCTAGAGCATAGAGCGTGCAGAGGTGTACGTCCTTTTTCATCAGCCGAATTCGGATCGGCGCCGTTTGTTAGCAACAATTTGACCACTTTTCTGCAGCCATTACTCAGAGCCAAGTTTAGCGGTGTATCGAATGATTTTTGTTCAAGACAATTGGGATCCTGGCCAAACTCGAGAAATTTCTCGACAATGTCGTCACAGCCATTCTTACAGGCTACGTGAAAATGGGTACATCCATTTAGGTCAATGTAATTCACATCGCACCTGTCGTATATTTTAAAAAGTTCAGGTACGATATAGCTACTGCAGTTGTCTTTAGCCGCCAGATGCAGTGCAGTAGTGCGATGTAGCAGTGGCTTGAGGTATTCATCGACGTCGGGTTCGTCTTTGTATCCTGTCCTAACCACAAACTTGATGAATCTTTCACCTGCACCATAATGCACGTGTTCCTCTATGCACTTTATGGAATCCTTGAGAATGCACTCAATCTCTTCGGGACGAAAAAAGTCCCGCAGGTTCGGAAATTGACCCTTCCAATCGTTGATCAAAAGGTCAAATCGAAAGAGAAATTCAACTCGCTCTGTTTCAATCTCCCAATCGACGTTCCTTCGTAAGCCTTTTAACACATTCAATTTTCCACGGTTATACAAACCTACTTTGGATTCGTCGTCGTACGTAGACATCGTTTCGCGTACTCACCAGCACTTAAAAAAATGACTCAATGGAATCTTCTTGAATTTTAATCACTTATTACTTTTCTTTTTTTTTTTTCACAAAAATCACTATTGCTGCAGTCGAGATCTTTCTATAGCTGTTCACACGGTGGCGTCGTAACGCGTACTGACTATGAACGCGCTATGATCGATATAGAAAATTAAAAGCACGTGGCCGGAGCAATAAGAGGTAGGACGACCAGCTCGAGCTGTGGACTGCAATGAATGAATGAAATCGTAAACGCAGCGTGGTAGCAGCCGCTCGTGTGTAAAGCATACGCGGCAATAAGTACAATGGCACAGACTAGACATATATTGTAGGCACATACCCGTATACCTAAAACTGAACTTTCACTTTCTAATCGTTACCGAATTGAACGACTCGGACGCGTGGGATGAGAGAACCGGCTGAGTACGAGAGAGATAGAGATGCATGCAGCGACGCTACGCATAGACTTCATCATTAGGCTCCTTTCACCTAACTTGGATTGGATGCGTCTCTGATCGTGATCAAGGCGGTGCACAATGTGCATCGAATTAGGTGAGAGTAAATTCTGTCCGGTCCAACAGAATGATGGAACATGTATTTTAAACACATAGGAAATTCCGGCATTCCATCGGACGGAATTATCACTCACCTAGTGTATCATCTCGATTCTAGCTTTCGTTAGCTTGCATAGGCAATATCTATTAGAATTACGTTTAATTAATCAAGTTCTCGGGATTTATAATTGTGGTGGTAATAGAATGTAACTGCTGCAACTCTGGGGAAAATCTAAAAGAGTTCCAGAGTCCGCGACATTATAGCTAACGGCCGAGATGAAGCCGAGCTTTTTATTCGAGACTCAGGCCTGGATATAATTTTTTTTCACGGCGCGCGGGAAAAGTTTAAAATTGATTTCCCAATTTAATTTTAGTACACGCGGTCATAGTTCTAATACACGTTTATAGTTCTAATTAATTTCTTAATGATACGCAGTGAGCGGATTTTTTATTTATTTTTTCAACTTTGACAATTTAGGACTAATATAAAAACAACGTTTCAAAACTTGAAAATAGTATTCTTAAAAAAAATAAGTTGTATAAGAACAGCGGCAAGATGTGAAATTTCTTTACAAAAATAAAAAAAATCGCAAAATCAGTTAGAACCACTATAATATTTTTCCAATCTAACAGACGTATTTGTAAATGTAAATGTAGACTCCAAGTGTCAACCTACTAATTGCTCCTCGAGCTCTTGAGTCTCTGCTGTGACTGTTCTGTACGGAGAAGCTCGTACGTAGCAATGCTTCTATTATTCTTATTAAAATATGACTTAAATAATTATTTTATGGATGTTCATTCAGCGCATTCAGCACATGTTCTTAAAAAGAATTATTTGACTAGGCATCAAAAAACTCAAAAATAATGCAAGTATCGATAAGAATTTATAAATTATCATTTTATAATTTGTTAAACTCCGTTAGAACGTAGTTCATTTTTTATACAACCGTACATCTCACAAATGCCTCAATAAAAACGTGTAAACTATTTATTTCAACAGCTCGCTGAAGAGAAAGAATCCACAGATGTAACTTGTTGCCTATTTTATTGTACCGACAGATAGATAAAAAAATATGTAAAAAGAACAATATAAACACCAGGAGTGAAACTTCAGAGTCCTTTTCCGTGGTTGAGTTTTTTTCCAGAAATGTTGTCTGTCTTTTTTCTCTCTCTCTCTCTCTCGCACGGGGGGTCTCGTCGCTAAAAATTCGCGCTTCTCGCGTGTCCTATATGGCGTGTACGCGTATACATAAATATGCGGGCCCATCGGCACATCGAATGGTGTCTTGTCTGTCGCTTGGTGCTCGTGCACCAGACTAAGACAAAGGGATGCTGCTGTTGCTGCTGCAGCAGTATAGTGGCTGCGTGTTTGTGTGTGTGTGTGTGTGTGTGTGTGTGTGTGCCGCCTGCCTTTCTCCGGTTGCTCGACGAAGAGAAAAAACAAAAGCATTTTTTTGTGTCGTACTACCCGATCAAGAACAAAATGTTCGAATTACTCGACGAGGGAGTGAGCGCGCGCGCGCGCGAGAGAGAGAGAGAGACGTACGTAATGAAGCGTGCATAACGTGTGCGATCTTTGGGGCCAGCCAGTTGTCTATTGCGGGTGCAGGAAAGTGAGTGCCAGAGGAATAATTAGTCTTCCAAGAAGTCGGACTATAAGTTAAACTCAGCTTAGAGTTTCTCCTTTGACTTTTTGGGCCCTTTTTTCCGGAGATCAGGCACCGCGACACAATGAATAGAAGACACTTTTTTTCGAGAACACCAACGATCACGATCGATACTCGTCACAACCTTGAAACTGTCGGCTAAGGGGGATAATAAGTACTCGATTCGTATTTAAAAATTGCGGCGGAAATCGTTTCAGAATGATTATTATTGATGCACGCGTACGATGTAATGCACAAGAAAGCAGAGAAAAGCGTACGAAGGGGTGGATGCGTGCTTTTGCATTACCCTTGCCAATAATGGCACACGCTTGCGATATCCGGGCCGGAAGCCTGGCCAAAACGCTTCGTGATATGTGATGGTCGACTCGCGCCTCTACTTCTGCCCATATCTTTAGGTACCTATGTACACTTTTTGATTTGAAAAAAAAATCGATGCAACGTGTTCGTGGGGGTCGTCGAGCAATGCAACGCATTCGATATATTATACGCAACATAGTGGGAAGGAATAAGTTGGAATCGACGCGACGAAAATCCAACGTACTATATGATATTTTGACAAATGAAACTTTTGACGAGAGCACAACGACGATGGCACCGACGAGAGCGGAGCCAACAGTAACTGCAGCGTGGACCTCCAGCCGCGCGACGGGGCCCTGAGAGCGAAATTCGAGTATACCCAGTTAAAGTTAGATATTGCATTATACGCGCATCCATACAGTCGACGAAAAAATTTGCTATTCCTCGTTATACGTATACCGTGACGACGTGGCGTCAGTCGAAGCAGAGCAATCGATCGAGCGTGCATAATAGCTACCGTTTTACGCTCCCAATAAAAAAAAATCGAAGAGAAATAAACGATACACTCGCTCGCAAGCACAGCTACGCCGGGACGAGAAAGAGAGAGAGAGAGAGAGAAAGCAATATATGGTACGCGGTCGAGAGGAGCAAAAAAAGTGCGAGAGACAATGAAATCGATAGAGTGTGTACCAACGTTAGAAGGTCTTATATCGCCTCGCGTTAAGATACGTTGCGCAGATGTCGCAAAATCGAGAGAGAGAGAGAGAGAGAGAGGGACTTTTAGTCTCTCATATGGGATGTATAGTGCAAGTACGTGCACTACGAGGAGAGCACCTTGCGCGCTGTCGTCGTCGTCGTTTGTGTCTGTGTGTGCGTACACGGCAGCGAGCGAGCAAACCCGGCGGCTCGGCGGCAGGTAACGCGATATTTGCGCTGCTCCTGTTGTCGCGTCACAGAGCAGCAGCACACGAGAGCTAGCGAGCGAGAGAGAAAGAAAATGCGACCGTCCTCGCTCTCTTTTTCCCATGAAAAGCTATGCTCAGGCGACTTTAATACGTACGCGTGTACTACCGCGCGCGCTCATGCCAGCGCAGGGCTCTGCCAAGTGTAACGAGCTCGAGACTCCCTTGTTTCTTTTTTCCTTTTGTTTTTTTTTTTACTTTTGCACTTTTCTCTCTATCTCTCTCTCTCTCTCTCGTTGAGTTGCTACGCGGTGATAAAGAGACTTGAATGACGAGACAATCGCATATCGACAGGCAGAGAGGCTTGACTCGGGAACTTTGGGGTACGCAGGACGACAGTTTCTCGGAAAAATCTCGTGCTGCGTCGAAGCGAGGGTGTGTGTCCATGTAACCTCACGTATATATATCTATGAATAAGACATTGTGTATGATGCAGTCCAAAGCAAGCAAAAAAAAGCTAAGAAGAAAGAAATAATCGAGCAATCATCGTCAACCAGGCATCATTATGAACCTCACAAAAGGGCCTCCTTTTCTTTGGCTGGCTTCACTCTCTCTCTCTCCCTCTTTTCAATAGTCCGTTGTTCTCCTATTTTGCTGCTGTTGCTGCTGCTTGTGACCGATGCCCCCGTATTTATAACATTTGGAAATTAGATACCTTCATCACTCCGTTTTTCGACCGCGCGACGATGATTGTGCGTGCACGCCGTATTATGGGACGACGTCTCATCCCTCGGACTGCTCGACTTGTGCTGCTGCTGCTGTTGCTGCTACCGTATGTTTGCATCGCACTTTTTTCCGTGCTCGGGCTGCTGCTGCTGCTGCTGCTGCTGTGCGTCGATCGGAAGATTAGTGGATCTTCAAAACGATTATTCGATGCTCGTTTAGCCGAAATTACCGACGCAGATTGATGTTTGGGTTTCGATGAAACTCCGGTTATACGATACTTTTGGAATTTTTCCTTTTCTCTCTCTCTCTCTCTCTCTTCCTTTGAGAGGTGCATGAATGGCATCTGATAGTATACGCATTTATTTACTCACGCACACACAGCAAATTACACACGCGCACACACATACACGTACACATACACACACACTCTTTTGTATACACTTCACTAATGCAAGTGACCTATTAAGTAATGAAATAAAACTGTGTCCACATTTTTTTATTTATTATTACAATGCTCCTCCGCGCAGCAACCTTTTTTTTCGGCCAAATTTTCCGTTCGAATGTTTCATCGCGAGCTACTTGCAGGCGCATCTCTGCTCGTCGCAACTGCAGTTCCACATTCTTCTTTCGAAGGCCGACAGCTCGTTATTGATAAAGTCGAAGGTCTTTTCGCTGAGCATTTCGTCGGGGAACTTGAGATTTTCGCTCGAAAATTTGTGCATCAGGCGACGCGTCTCCTCGCCGTATTCCGGCTCGGGTGGGTTTTCGACCATTCGCGGCTCCTCAGCTGCTGCCTCGTTGGAACAAGCAGCAGCCTCGTCGGCGTTGTTTTCCACGTCGATTATTGGCGTCTCGTCCGGGTCCGGCAGAATATGCGCTTGATTACGTGACGATTTGAGATTTTCGTGAAGAGAGCAATGATAACCTCGAAAAGTGCGTGCTTCTAAAAATGAACGATATTTTACGTTTGGGTGGCATGTAGGGTTGCAGATCGCCCTCGCCCGAGTCGAGGAACTTCCAGAACTGCTTGATTTTCCACTCCTTGCTGGCACTGGACGTACGGCGAAATTCCGTGGTGAAATTGCAGCTCGAGCTCGTTTCTCCGGACATCGTTCTAACCGTTCAAAAGTTAACCGCAACGAAATAAACGCGCCCGATGTTCGTTACAAAAGTTAGCTTATGGAACTTCTCGGTTTAAATGAAAAAATAGCGTTGGTATAAGCGGGGAACTTTGATTCTTCGAGGTTGGCAGCGCAACTTTGGTATATTGCAGTGCTCTGCAACCCATAACCTACGTTACCCTCGGCGTAGGGTAATGTAGAAATGACGCGTGCCCGTACAAATTTATTATGTTTTTTGAATATGCCGACACCAACCAAGTTTTTTTAAACCTTGACTTTTGAAATCACAGCATAAATAAATTTGTTCGTAATTTATCTTAAGTCCATCGAACCTTAACGCGTCTTTCGAAGAACGATAATTAAAAAAAAAAAAAAAAACGCTATTCGCGCCGTAATCATTACACGCACTGTTATAAAACGTGTGAAAATCGAAGTGTGCAGGAAAATTCGCACCACAGGCAAAAATAGACGTTACAGGAGCAGTAGATTACATATTAGCATAGAGAACAATCGGCTCCGGCAGCAAAAGTAGCTTCAGTGTGTATGTATAACGCTCGGAGTAGTTCGCAGTCGACTCGGCGGGAGGAGGGAGATATAATGTTATTGCAACTTCCCACGCACACGGGGCATTTAAATTCAAGATGGCCGTATGGGCGCATGTGTACACAACGCAAACATTACACGCACACATACCGAGGATGCACATATGATGATCTCCCTCTCACTTCGAACATTGCATATAACTTGAGCATGGCAATGTGCTGCTGCTGCTGCTGGCTGAACTGAAGTATATAACGTGACTGTATATGGCGCTCGCTATGTGTGTATGCGCATACACACACAGTGACTATTTTGCATACACACATGTATAGTTTGCGATATACCTGCGCTGCTGCTGCCACATTTCCCTCTCGCGGGCTCTCTCTTTCTCTCTCGCACTCATTGCGGAATAGTCCCCATGCGATGTTGTAGTCGCGAGTCGCGCGCGCGTTGCGATCGTTCTGTGTATACATACACACATTGTATAGGTAAACCTATATGACACATACCTTACCAATATATATATAATCTACGTCTGCCAAAGTCGTCGTCGTCGACTTGTGCGTGCCTGCGCCTGTGCTTGTGTGTGCGCACTGCACTCAGCACTCAGCTGCAAATAGTCAACAATTGCACCGACGACGACACGTTACGAGGGGGGCACCCCGTAACTGCATTTTAATACATAATTCATTGTTGTGTCCAGTGCAGCCAGTGTGTGCGTGTGTGTTTGCGAGTGCAGTGTTTGCAGTCAACAGCAGCAGCAGCAGCAGCAGCAGCCGTAGCAGCAGTTAATTTTTCCAAGGCAATTTGTACTAATAAATACAAGGTTGGGCGATAATCAAACGGACATAAGCTGGAAGTCAACGCGTCAACGAGCTGCAGCAACATCGATGAGGAACGACGGACCGACGAGCGACGACGACGAGGACGAAGATAGCGAGAGCGACGAGTCCCTGGTTGATTCTGAACAGCAGCAGCAGCAACAACAACAACAGAATCAACAACCTGACCAGCCGCAGCAGCAGCAACAACAACAACCACAACAGCAGGTAGAAGCAGGTGGAGCGTCGCCGTCGTCGTCGACGTCTTCATCCTCCGAGTCGAGTGCCAGGAGTCGAGCTGCCAGCAGTAGCAACGGCAGCAGCAGCCGCAGTTATCTGCATCAGAGACGGAGCCGACGACGGGGGGCCGCCTCCGTGGTGGGCCCGCCACCTCATCGGCCCCGACGTCAACATCAGGACCGGGTCGACGACTTGAACAATCATCATCCTCGTCCGGACGACGACGAGGACGCCGAGGAAAATATCGAGGTTGACGTAGTGCTCTTGCCAGCCGCGCAACTGAATCATCGCCATCATGTTCAGCAAGAAGCTACACGTCGACCTCAAGAAGTCCACCCTCAAAATCCAGGACCCGAGGAAGGACAGCGCGACCAGATTTAAACATCTCAAAATAGTGCTCGGTAGGTTTTTCGCGGCTGCTGCGACTCTTTTTCACATTCTCTGTCTCTCTGTAGCATTATCGTCGCGTGTCGCGTTCTAATCGCAACAGTGACGCATTGTTTGAAAATTTAAATAAAAGTGATTGAAAACAAGACATAAAAACCTTGCTAAAATGTATGCTGCAAGGAATAGTGCTATGAAATAAGTTTACGGTTTCTTATCAGTCAGTTCAGTTTGAGAGTAAATGCTTGAAACACCTGTCGAACCATATCAATAATTGTTTGACCAATTTTCTATATTTAGATTATAATTTTACTAGCTGAATAGTTGTTTTCTGATAAGTTGTTATTGCTTTTTGAATGGTATCACATTATTTACAAGTTTGAAATGATACAAAATTTGTGGTCTGAGTTAATTTATATGAATAAAGTAGGTTACCAGTGATGTGTGATAAATATTTGTTATATCTAATCAACAAATATATAACATTGAGCCAATTGAAAATTAATTTAAATTACTGCTAAACAATAATATGCAAAATTTGTTACCAATCTTTGAATTGATTATATTAATCAATTTATTTTTGTATTACAGATAATCTGGACACAGAAGATGCCAAAGGGTTCTTTGAAGCAAATTTCAGTCATGTTTATTTTATCTTATTTGACGTATTTTCTTCAGCAGAAACAAATTTACGTCAACGAGGTAATTTATTGAACAATTTTCAAAGTAATAAGTTCTTAAATGATTTATTAATCAAAGATTAACATAATAACAAAATTAACTCATAGAGAAAGTACTGAAATTTACTTTAAAATCTAATCATCGAAGGCATTGCAATATTAGTTCACGACCTTCAAACTGTAGATTAATAAAATCCAAAACCTTTTATATTAATTCACTAATCAAAATTTCTCTGCCCTCTTATTTTGCACTGCTGACAGAACTATCATTCCACTTAGGTAAGTGTAAACTTGATGAATTGTTTATTAATGTTTTTTTAACTCTGAAACATTCATTCATGATAAAAAACGTTTGAAAGTTGCAATATTGAAATGAAATATTTTTGCAGTTCATAAAGCACACCGGGAAGAGCTAGAGCAAGCGCTGCAATTACTTGAAAAAGTATTAACTCTTCTGCCTGAGTTATTGAACAGAAGATGGCAAGTTCACAGTTTAGGGACAATTTTGCAAAGGCTTTTGCATCCTAAAAATAGTTATAAGCTTCGAAGACAGGCAATAAGGTTGGTATGAGAGAATCAAGTATCAATAATGGACTAACAATCGTATAACTAATGTATGTTTGTTCAAGATATTTTATATTGTGGTATCAAGCACTTGGAGAAAATGCACCAGAACACATTCATCAGTTATTCACATGCCTTGTGCCAGGCTTTCCGCCATGTTCAGCCTCACCTCTCAGATTCGAGCGTCGAGCTGAGTCTGTTTCGTCTTCCAGCAGCACGTCAAACAATTCTGCTGGAAAAAAACACACAAAATCTGCCAGTTATGGTGACGACAAAAGCAGCCGAGAATTTTACGATTCTAACTTGAATTTCGGCATGCCCGTCATCAACGACGACTCAACAAATGCACCAGAAATAGTGCCTATACTTCCACCACAGAGCGGTGAAAAGCCTCTCGAAAATGAGTGCGTTAAATTTTTCGAATCCTTGCTGGAGTACATGGTGACGCAAGTGGTGAAAATCGAATGGCGAGATAAGCACAATCGACAGTACAAATCATTTCAATTTATCCTGGAACGCTTCAAAGCGACGTATTTGAGATACATTTGTCCGGAGTTCGATGATAATTTCTCATTGTACAAGCCAAATTTGGAAATACCGTCGATGCGAAAGCAGTCGAATTTAAGTCAAAGCGATTTAGTGCAGTGTAAAGTAGTACTCATTAAGTGGATAGCGAATTTTACTCACATCGCCAAAAAAGATGGGATTTTTTCACACTTGACGCAAAGGTATGCAGCTCCGAATCATTTTAGAAAAGAAAGACCGTACTTTGTGGTAACAAACAATATTGTCTTTGTAGCGATGACAGCGACGAGCTGCGTCGCGTATCGATGACGCACAGCTCGCTGGATTCCAGTCTCGCGTCGGCCGACCAGAGCACGCACGAGAACGCCTTCCACGAGGACAGCACCCTGGCTGCCATGGCACTGGTGCGCGACGTGCTCTACGGGAATCGCGAAAACGTCAACTTCATACACGAGATGTACAGACAGGCGTTCCTGTTGGATTTCACGCACGCCACGGCCATTCGCAAGGCCATAGGTGCTTACAAAGACTGGATACAAATGAATGTGAGTTATCTGTCACTCGCGAATGTAAAAAAATGAAAAAAAAAAAAAACATTAATGTTAACGTGTCGATTCGCAGGATGTACCGCCGTTCATGCTGGAACCTCTGGACGGTCACCGAGACCGCGAGTACGAGGAACTGCAGAAACGCGACAGATCGGACTCGGACCCGAAGAGTCCGCAGCAAGACTCGAATCAGAGACTGTCAAGACTGAGAAACGACTCGTACATCGGGGCCATACAGAAGGACGGCCTGTTCGTGCGGGCCGGACTGCAGAATGTACTGCTCGTGTTCATCACCCAGGCCTCGAACGTGTTCTTCCTCGAGACGACCGTGAGCGGGCCGGCGTCGGCCGCGCTGCTCGAGGAGCAGACCGACAGCTGCAAGCGCGTGCTCAACGTCTATCGGTACGTGGTGATGCACACGCGCCTCGAGCCCCAGACCTGGGAGCAGCTGCTGCGAGTTCTGCTGCAGATCACCTCCCAGGTGCTGGGCGAGAGAAACTCGCGGCGCAGCAGGCAGCAGTACGACACGATCGGCAGCAAGCTGGCGCCCGCCATATTTCAAACGCTCATCGTTACCTGGATCAAGGCCAATCTCAACGTCATCATATCCACTCAACTGTGGGATCAATTCCTGCAGGTTCTGACCTCGCTCACGCACTGGGAGGAGCTGATTCGAGAATGGGCTGTAAGATATTAAATTATACGCACGAATTCGCGCTATCACTCGATATAAATTCATCTCGACACACTTGTTTTTTTTTATTTTTATATTAAAGAAAACGTTAGACACGCTGACCCGAGTATTGGCCAGACACGTCTATAATCTCGATCTCAATGACCTGCCGTTGGACCGTCTGAGCGAGCAGAAATCGAAGAAGCGGCGAGGCGTCGGCGGCCGGGCGGCATCGACCGGCAGCGTTCAGCCCCAGTTACGCCGAGGCAGCACGGATCAAGAAACTGCTCAGTCCTCGAAAGAAGTCACGGGTAAATGACCTGTTGATTCTCTCACTCGGGGCTTATATAGAGAGCGTTTTTGGCGCCGACTCAAGCGACCGACGACGCGCCTCGTATACTATATGTTACAAACTAATTAAAAATTGATTTTCTCTATATCGATTCTCTCCGTACGCAGATCACGGCTTTCGGGAGTCGCGCAAGGTCCGGCCGTTGTCGCGCAGCGCCAGCGACAACTCGATCTACAACGGCAAGATACGCGCGAAAATGACGCACACCAGGCAGCGGTCTTCCCAGTACAGCAATAATACCGTCGTCGTCGTACCCGGTAAGTTGCATCCCGAGAGCAGCCAAGCGCGAAAAACTCCTTATCATGCTTTGGCGCATTTATGTATATTTATAACTTGCATACACACGCGTTTCACGCACACACAGACACACACTGCAGCTGTCTCGCGCTGTCGTTTTTGTTTTATTTTATTTTTTTTATAGTCATAATACTACTTGGCTATTTTCTTTGAACTCTGCGTGTCGCAGCGCGCGTTGACTCTCGTCTGCGCGACGTTAAAAATACATATGTATGTATAAAAGCTCGGAGAGATCAGCGATCGCGCAGACGGTCAAAAGAGAACTAGTATCGCTTGCTCGTTGACCGCGACCACCGCAGAGTTCGCGAGCGCGCAGTGTGCAACGATTACATACACTTGCTTTGAATATATTTTATACATCATATCGCAAGTTTTCTGTTTAGTGAATTTTTAATCTAGAAGTGTGCTTTGAGTGTTAGGCATATTGTCTGCCTTTTCATTTTTATTTTAAGCGAGTGTGCTTTTTTATCAGCGAATATACCGTATAATACGACGAGTTGATTTTTTTTCGTCGTTTTAACGATTCGAGTGCGACCTCGAGCAAAAGTCATTTTCTTGCGTGCATTATAAATTATCTTCGAGTCAACGAGGTTACGCAATCGGTCTCTATCGGTGCAGTCCGAAATCGCGTCGTTGGCTCGACGACAAAGCAGCGAGAAAATAATCTTCCAAAAACTAACACAGCTTGTTAAATCCTCATAATCGCCTGTTTTTTTTTGTCAACCTCCCCTATTGCCTACCGCTACCGAACATGCGTAGCCCTGCCACTGTCGATCGAGCGTGACATGGCACGATTGGCGGCCACGACGACGACGACGACGAATCATCATCATCAGCATCAAAACGGTATCCAGGGCAGCAACAACAGATCGGCGAAGACGAGGCGAGCGGCCATGGCCATGTCCCGACGCGCCAAATCCTTGGAGAGCGTCGTGACGACGGACAGCGAGCCACCGAGTCCGCGATGTCCGTCGCCCACGCCGAGCAGCGGCGTCGACAGCAACAAGGACAGTCCTATACAAATCGACAATATCGACGGCAGCAGTATCGGTAGGTTTTTGCAAGTTCTCCAACGCAGAGAATCGTTTTTCCTGCACACTCTTTCTCCATATATATTTACAAAGGGTCGTTATACAGGTTGTGGTATTTTAATTTTTTTGGTTTGTATTTTGCATCATCGTTTTACCACCGTTCTCCTATTATTATTTTTTTTTATTTTCGTCTCTACAATTGATTTTGTTTAAGTTCCATTTGCCACCTGTTATTAATAATAAATAAATGTAAATTAACAAAATCCATCAAAAAAATCATCATCTCTGAAAATGATCGACAAACACACGCGCACTCGATATAAAATAGAAGCTCATCCGCTGGATTTTTCGTTGCGCTAAAATCCTCGGCCTCGTTTCGCAGACACGAACGACCAGTCGGAGAAGCGCTCGGTGATGGCCGGCGGCGGCGTCCGTGGCTGGCTGCCCGACGTCGCCGTGGTCCTCTGGCGTCGCATGCTCTCGGCCCTGGGCGACGTCAACAACATCCAGGACCCCGTGCTGCACGGCCAGGTCATGGAGTACCTCGTCCAGCTGACCCTGACCCTGGTGAAGATCAGGCTGAATCAGGGCGTATCGGGCGACAACCAGGCGACGCCACCCACGCCGGATTTGATACCGCCGCTGACGATCATCGCACCTTGGTGCTTCAAGGTTCGTGTAAAAGGCCATTATTATTATTATTGTAATTATGTTTTCGCTTACACTGTACGCGTGTTGTCGGTGGCGTGGGAAAAGCAGCGACGCGCTCCCACGATTACGATACGCGATCTATATATGGCGAAGGGCGTCTCGAGAGAATTCGAAAGATTAAAGCCATTGTCCTTGGCTAATGCGTTTTTAATTTTTACACACACGCACGCACACAGGCGATACAGTTGCCGCAGCAGTTCGAGACCGGAAAATTGGCGGCCTATCGTCTGATCTGTCTGCTGACGATGCAGCCCCAAGACATCAGGCTGCCGAAGCAGCACCTGACGCTGTTCTATCGGGCCGTGCATCACGGCATATCGAGCAACGATCCCAAGATCCTGCACACCATCGTCAAATACACGGGGCCCCGGCTGTTCAGCCTGCATCTGCCCGGCTCGAGTCTCCTGATACTGGACTACATTCAGGCCGCCAATATCATTCTCAGCAGTCAGGACATCAACGTGCGTACACATACATGCATATTATGTTGCGATCGTAAATTATTTGTAATAATTGTTAATGACTGTACGATGTCTTGTACTGTGTAATACAGTCGCCGAGGGCGGAAGCCGTGTCGATACTGGGCTCGCTGCTGTCGCTGCCGACGACGAACGCCACGACGAGGGTGCTGCAGCCGAACGAGGCCGACATCGTGACGACGACCTGTCCCTACGCCAAGGACCACATCATCGCCATACTGATGAGATGCTGCCGCAGAGAGCCCACCGGCGTGGCGAGATGCGTGGCCCTGTCGAGCATAGCCATGTTCGTCTACAAGGAATTGTGCCATAGATCCCTGCACAGGACGGTGCCCGAGGCCTTCAACGTGCTGCTCCTGTCGCTCAAGGTACGCACACGTCTCGCAATTTCATTTTATTTATTTTTTTTTTTTTTTTGGAACTTCGATTATCATTGTGTACATAGATCAAAGTAGTTGCAGCGATGTAAGTAAGAGATGTGCGGGTTTATTTTTTGGCTGTGTAGCTGTTTTTTTTTCGTTTGTTTTGTTTTTATGGTTTTTTTCACCTTATTCGTCGCAAAGTATTTTGTGTATCTATATAGCAAGTAGAGCAAAGAGGTGTTGGATAGCGCTTTAACGTATAGTAGTTAAAAAAAAAGCACACATTAGTGTTCCGTTGGTACGAGGGAGCAAAGAATATGGCAATCCATCCGACGCAAGGACAAATTCCATTTTCTCCTGGCCAATCAGGTATTTACGAATGCGTCAAAAGTTTAATCGTATTCCTGAATGTTTGTGTCTCGTCCATTTCTCGTTTCTCTGTCTCTCTATTACCTCTACGTACGGTGCGAAGTTTCTCTCTATCGTAAGTTTTTCAACGATCGACGCAAGAAAAAAAAACAACAAAAAAATCGTTCACCCAGCTTTTTTCCCGGACAACGTTTTAACACATGTGTATTGGCTTTTGTTGACTAAGGCTTTTCTTTGCATAGTCGCTTCTTATTTTTAATATCGATTATCGTTGAGCATGATGCCACTACTGACTCACAAGACGAGCTTAAGTTACCTCGAGCGAGCTTATTTTCGTGAATTTTTGTCCATACAGACGTCTCACGCGACGGTGGCGCAGGTGGCCTGCGACTGTCTGCTCTTGCTCTGCGACAAGGCCGACGTGCTGCTGGAGCAGTACGCCGACGTGCCCGCCAAGATAATCCAGTGCCTGTCCGAGACCCTGGAGCGCACGATCGTGCAGGAGAAGAAGAGCACCCTGACGATCTCGATGCTGTTCTGCCTGGGCGAGTGGGCGATGCATCTCGGGCCGAGTCTGCTGCTGCGCTCGTACAAGGGCAAGCCCCTGCTACTCACGCTCTTCACGGTTCTCGACAACATCGTACAGGGTAGATTTAGCAAGGACCCCGCGGAGGCCTCCAGGGCCGCTCAGCAGGACAAGCAGGGCGAGGACTTCGATCCCAGCATCGCCCTCGACAATCTGCTGGACAGCGCCGCGTCCAAGGCCGCGTGGCGCGGCGGCAGCGGCAACGCCCAGTCGGTCCAGCTCGCCGCCAAGATGATCATGATGCACCTGGTCAATCATCTGGGCCACTTTCCCATGGGCATCGGCGCCGCGAGACTGTCCTCGCTCGTCGTCGAGCTCGACGACGTGCCCAACATCGAGGGCGACGAGCTCTCCTCGTCCATATTCAACGCGCCGAACATTCAGCTGCTCATGCTGTCCAACTCCATCATCATGTCGCTGGTCGAGCTCGACACTCTCGACGTGCCCGGTGGTGGCGTCACCGCCGGCCTCACCACGGCACCCTCGATGGTTCGAGTATTGCTCAGGGACTTGGCCGGCAAGGCATCCTGGGATAGCTCGATACTGTACAGCCAACCGACGAACGACGTTACGGCTCCGCAAATCAAATTCAGTGAGTTGTCTCGTCGAACGATCGAGTAATTTTGGAACGATAGAGAAACTATAATGACATTTTTGTTTGTTTTTGCAGGGCCTGCATTGACTTCGTATAAAGACGATATGTGCAGCGTAATGCCAGTACAAAGTTGTCCACCGAGACACACGATGCGTCACCACGATCCCAACGTTTTGCCAACGTTTGAAAATGGCGCAACCGACATGGACAATTTGGACGATGTAAGTCGTACATCTTAATAATGTACCATGAATCAATCCAGATGATTATCAATCTCATCTCATTATTTTCATCTACAGCTTTTGCAATACATTGGCCACACGAGTCCAGAAGTGCTCACGAATCCGGAATCGACCCTCAACTCCGCCGCACCACCGCCTCAGGGTCAGTCCCTCGAGTCCGAAACGATCGCCACCATCTTGTCTCAGCGCAACATCGAACGAGAGCACACGACGACGTGGAGCGATCACGCGAGCATAAAGGCCGCGCCGTTGCAACCGCCGAGCTGTCGACCGCCGCCCACGCCGTTCCATCACTGTCGTTTGCTGTTCTCGCACTTGGGCCTCGCCGGCTGGGAGCAGAGGCGAAAACTGCATCTGCTCGCCAAGAACGAGAAGCTGCTCAGAGAACTGCGAAACTTGGACGGGCAGAGATCGCGAGAGACGCACAAGATGGCTGTCATTTATGTGGCTCCCGGCCAAGAGGACAAAATGTCCGTGCTCAGCAACGTGTCGGCCAGCAAGGAGTACGAGAGCTTCATCGCTCGGCTCGCCTGGGAGGTCGAGCTGGAGTCGCACACGGGTTTCCTGGGTGGTCTGGTGCCGGGCAAGGCGTCCGGCGTCACCGCGCCCTACTTCGCCACCTCGTTCGCCGAGGTCATCTTCCACGTGGCCACGCGGATGCCGTCGGACAGCCCCGAGAGCCTGCTGCAAAAGACCCGGCATCTGGGCAACGACGAGATCCACATCGTCTGGTCGGAGCACTGGCGGGACTATCGTCGCGACATCATTCCCACCGAATTCTGCGACGTGCTCATCGTCATCTATCCCCTGCCGAATAAGCTCTATCGCGTGCAGGTGTCGAGAAAGCCGGAAATACCGTACTTCGGACTTCTGTTCGACGAGTGCATCGTCGAGGATTCGGTACTGCCTGGCCTCGTACGGACTACGGCCCTCGCCGCCAGCAGAGCAAAGAGGACGACACTGACGCTCTATCAACACTAGTGCGTATCGAAATATATTGCTATTTTTTTCCTGAAAGCGATCGAATGTATCATAATGATGTTTTTAATTGGAATGCAGTTACGAGGAACGGGCGAGATCAATCGACACCATAACGAGAAATCACAAGGAAGCTACGACGTTCGAAGAGTTCGCTGCTAATGTTTATTCACCTGTTCAACCACCTAGTCTCTTCGGTGGAGCTTCTTCCATATCAGGTGAGAATTTACTATTTACAATTTGATTATGCAAATGAAAAGTCGTAAAAATAAAATCTATTAATTCAAGGATCAACAACGAGCATACAATCAGCTGCCTCGACAAATCTCGCCGCAGCGCTCATTGATTCGCATCAGAGCCGTCCAAACCTTCGCGGTACTTCTGCAGCTAACAATGACAATCGAGCAAACAGAGGTATGCACAGTATTGAGTACGAATTGAAAAAAATCGATATCATTCATCTCACGCCACATCGTCATTGAATAAAAAAAATGAACGAAGCAATATCCGCACAATCGACTTGTTTCTTACCATTTAAAAAGAATAACACGATTAACATTACTATCTTTCACTCGTATCATTGTTTATTCAAAACTACTAACGCGCTTATCGACATTTTACTCTTTTTCTTGTTTGGACAGTCTTGCAAAGTCTGTTGAGAGGTAATACTTCCATTCTACGTATACCCTAGATAATAGTACTAGCGCTAATTAGAAGCTTTACTTACTCTCACAAACACGCGTCGTTTGGTTTTAATCCACGTGTTTGTGGTGTCTTTCGAAGGTATTGCTTACGAAATTTATCCCAAGACGTTCAATTTTTATACTAATTTTTGGTTTTTTCATCACCGATTTTAGTGTCTGATGGAGGTCGCGTATGGTTTAGCAGTGATACCACCGACAGTTCAACTCTTCATGGAATTTCACCACGACCAGCCAAGAAAATGTCCTTCAAATCGGGACCTAGAAACAAAAATAATGTCCAACCGACGCCACCCGATAGTCCTCGTTATAAGTAGGACATCACAATCATTAAGACTACTGTTCAAAGAAATGCGATACTTTTAATAGATGGCTTTCGTCTTAACATTGTGTTAACTTCGACTAAAGGCTATATTAAAAGTAATTATGTAATATGTATATTAAATGGTTTCGTACCGTGTAGATTTTACGATTTTTATATATTGTTAAGATCAATATTATACTATAAGAATTAGTATCCATTTGACAAAATATGTGAAATTTTGGCATACAAAAAACTGCTTTTAAAAGTTATTCTCTATGACAGAGAGCAGTTATACTTTGAGCATTTTTATAATGACACATAGTAGTAGTAGTAGTAGTAGTAGTAGTAGTAGTAGTAGTGATGAAAGGGTATGATAAAAATTATAACTGTATTTGAAACATATGCTGCAAATTGGTTCATTGTAAATGGAGTTAATTTACAGTTGACTTACAAGTTTTATGTTTTTCCGTCCTTAGCTTAGTTTTGTAAGATTGTGTGTAAAAATGTTCAGGAAAAGACTAATGATAATTTTAGGACCCATCATTTAAAGATTTTCATCGACTCGTAATATCGACCATCATTAATGTTCATAAATTATCAATTATAAAAGCTTCATGTTACGTATTTAAAGTTTCATTCATCTTAAACTTCAGCATAAATACAGTATTTACAATCAGAATCAATTAATACAAATTTGATTGACATCATTCATATTTTTATATTTTATTTTTAAAAATCTGTTTTTACAGATTACATTCCGCACAATCGCTATTGAATAAGCATTTTTCAATGACAGCTATAATGCATATGAACATTCCATTATAATTCATTGTTTGAATATGCAATAATGAAATCGTTAATACCCTATAAAGTCATTAAAACGCCTTAACATATTCAAGACTATAAAATAGAATATTTATCAAATACTTATTGAGTAAGTAAATTTACTGTATAAAAATTGAAATAGGAGTTATAGAGATCAAAGAATCAAAGTATTATCATCGATATAACAATTGTTAAAGTTATACAAATAGCAAGCTATTAATTAAAACAAATAAATCATTAAATCAAAAATCAAACCTTAGAATTTGGGAATGATAGATGAAAAGATTTGTGGAATCTTGTATGGGAGATACTGTACATGAGTATGTGTATCAATTGTAGTCTATGGCCAAAGCATTATTTTTTCACTTATTTATAAAAAAAAATTGAAAAATATATATGAATTGTATATAAATAGAAGAAAAGTAGTGTCTGGACCATCGAAAATGTTATTCAAATTTTATGTATAAAACTAAAAATAAATTTGTCTCAAATTGTCAAAAATGTAAAATTATATTTAACATAATGAGATGGGTTAGATATGATTGTGGAAAATGTAATGTACTTAAAAAAATCAAATTTTCTTGCAATTGTTATTTCTTATTTGCTATTAAAATCTGTATTATTTATTTAACATACTAATAATATTACTATTGAAAATTATATATATAGATATATAAATATATTCGCTCGACTATTTTTCTTAATAATGTACCTTATTACGTATTACGAGTTAGTATGTTATACATGAAAATATATTATAAAGTTATAAACATGCACAGAATAATTTTCATGAGTTCCGTCTTGTGAAAATTAATTAAATTTCGCGAAGTGGACACAAAATGTTATAAATATTGTTGTTTCCACGTCCATACGTGACTTGTAACTTTTTTTAATAAATACATTTAAAAAATTCGCCAATCTTGTTCGTTTTATACAATTTACAAATTATTTCAAAAAATTCGCCAATGAAACAGTTACTCCTCTCGTGGACACTTTCGAAACTAAGCGCGGCATACGTGAACGCGAAACTGCCGAGCCGACGCTCGCCGTGCCCATGCGATTGGTGGCATAATTACAGCCATACATATTCTTGTTTTGTTTTGTCTGTATTTGAATAAATAAATTGTCAAAATGGTAAGTGACAGAAGAGCATTGTCGATTTTATTCATTTGTTCATAAAGATCGATGATTACCGCGTTTACTGAATCATTCAAAACAGTTCAATTATAACTTGAAATCACATGTTCTCAGTCATATGTCAACCTTTAAATTTTGAACTATTTATAACCATAAATTGAAAATTTGTAGAATTATTTGCTGGATTTCTCTTGTTAACACAAGATTATACACAAAAAATGTCATCACGAATTTGTAGAATGATTCCAATTTTGTTCTACAGAAACCCCTTATGCTTCATGGGCACGAACGTGCCATCACGATGATTAAATTCAACAGGGAAGGTGATTTGATCTTCTCTGCTTCAAAAGATAAAAAGCCTAATGTCTGGTATTCTATAAATGGAGAAAGGCTAGGTACTTTTAATGGACACAATGGTTCTATTTGGTGCATTGACGTAAACTGGGACTCAACTCGTCTCTTATCAGGCAGTGGTGACAATTCCTTGAGATTCTGGGATTGTCAATACGGTAAGTTTTTACTCTTACGGATTAATCTCATTAGTTTAATTGAATAATTAATATTAAACTCAATATTTTATTTAGGCAAAGAGATTTCAAAACTTAACACAAAGAGTTCGGTAAGAACTTGCAGTTTCAGTTTTTGTGGAAACTTAGCTGTTTACACCACTGACAAAGCTCTTGGACATAATTGCGAAATGTTCATTATTGATGTAAGAGCTCCAGAACCTGTTCTTCAACCAGAAGATAACATCTGCAGAACAATGATGGCTGAGTCTAGAGTATCTTCTGTACTTTGGGGTGCTTTGGATGAAACTATCATAACTGGTCACGAAAATGGTACTTTAGCTATCTGGGATAGCAGGGTGAGTTAATTTTTATTTTTGAATATTGTATGAAACTGCTGCCGCAGTCTATCATTACTAAAATAACTTATTTATATTTTATTTTCAATCTCTGTATAGACTGGAAAAAAATTAACTGACGCTGAAGGACATTCAGCACCTGGAAGTGATAGATCAAACCGGTCTTCCATTAATGATATGCAATTTAATAAAGATGGAACCATGTTCATTACTGCATCTAAAGACCACACAGCCAAGCTGTTTGATAGTGAGTCCTTGGTTGGTTTAAAAACTTACAAAACAGAGCGTCCAGTTAACTCTGCCACTATTTCTCCAACTCATGATTATGTAAGTTTTGTTTTAAACATTAAATTTCAACAATAGTTGCATTTTTTCTCATTTTTTGTGATTTTATAGGTCGTTGTTGGAGGTGGTCAAGATGCAATGGATGTAACCACAACATCTGCCAAGCAAGGAAAGTTTGATGCTCGTTTCTATCACATGGTCTTTGAAGAAGAATTTGCACGATTGAAGGGTCATTTTGGTCCAATTAATTCTCTAGCTTTCCACCCGAACGGACGCACACTTGCTACCGGTGGAGAGGACGGTTATATTCGTATTAACAATTTAGACCAATCATACTTTGACTATCAATTTGAATATTAAATCATTTGAAAATTATTCACATTAAAAATACATTTTTATTAAAATTTCTTGACTTTTGTCTGATTTTTAATCATAAGAGTAAAACAGTTTTTTACATACCACCTAATTGTATATAAACATGTAACTTCTTGAATTATATTTGTAACAATGTTTTATTTTAGTGACTTAAAATTATCTTTCATTGAAGCTGACTAAACGTTCCAAGATTCTTACTTTATTATTCTTTTAGGTCAATAAGTTATTTAAATTCCGAAAACCGTTGAATTCTTACCAGTGTAGTGCCCTAAAATCAAATAATTAATTAGTATTTGTAGCATTATTTTTATTGTCAAATATAAAAATATAGTGAGATACCTTGAATATTTTATTTTCGAATTTGTAACTGCCTCATACACTGATGCTAAATCATCTACACTTAAAAAATCAATTATAAATTCACAGCATAAATCTGGTAATTTTTTTAATGTCAATACTTGAAAATATTTCATGACTATGCGTTCAAAAATAGATCTTCTATGACTTTCAACAATGAGTCCTTTAATAATTTTGCCAGTATCACCAAAGCGATAATTAAAATTTTGTTCGTCCAAAAATTCTTTGTATGAAGCATTTTTCAAGTAATGTAATCTTTTCTTAGCATTTACAACGCAAAGATCATAGAGCGACCTTTTATCACTAATCATCGTCTTTTTTGCAAGATCGAATTCTTCTTGCCCACGTTCAAATTCAAAAATTAATAATTCAGACTTCAAATTTTCCGGAGATGAATTCAAGTATTTATATAAGAAATTTTTTTTTTCTTCGTTCAAGAATATATTGAACTTTTGAACAGTTTTAAGAAACAATTTTAAAGTGAACTCATATCTATCTTCGGAGCCGTGTGACTCTAATAAATCTGAAAACATTAAATAACGTTAATTTTTTATTTGTTTGCGAATAACGAGTTTTTATAGTATGAAACGAATGGGCTTACTCGATTTTAGCAGTAACACACATGCGTTCGGAGTTAGCTCCCTGTCCTTTATCATTTTTGTCCCCATTAAAAATCTCAACACGCCCTTGTGGTCTTCCGCAGTCAAGACGAATCCTTTACTTTCCAAAAGTTCGAGGATTGCCATGAGACTTTCGATCAAATCTAAATTCAATTCGTAATGCGATTCGTAATTGAAGTAGCCCAATTCCTGAAAAGTGACGCTTTGCACGTCGGCACCGTTCTTCACGAGCAAATAGACGGCGTCGTATTGCAGGAGAGACACGGCTATGTTGAGAGCCGAAAAGCCGTACTTATCTTTGGCGTTGACGTTGACTCCGTTCTCTAAAAGTAATTTCATCATGTACTTCAGATGTCTTTCTCCGGAGCTCATATAGTGCACACGTTTTCCAATGTTTCGGGTAGCAATATAATAACGACCGGCATAAGGACCGCCTGATCCATGAAATATTATAGGTGATGGTTCTCTATTGTAAGTCATAGTTATCAGTTTATGCAGAGCGTTTCGACCATCATCAGGATCAACGTTCGGATCAGCACCACACTTCAATAGTAATTCGAAAATTTTTATAGACTTTATCTCGGGTATTTCTGGGTCAATATCACCGTCAAGATCCTGCACTTTTCCTTTTCCATGATATTTGTTAGAACAATCAACTATGCCTTTAATCATGGCGTGGTCGAGTGAGAGATTCGCATCGACGCCCATATCGATGAACTTCTTAACTATATCGTACATTCCCTTTAAGCAGGCTATTTGTAAATATGAAAGTCCATTACTATCGCAGCGATTTTCATCGAGGCAAGTCTTGAGCATTAATTTTTCTACAGCTTCACTGAAATCCTTTCTTTCAGCCATGTGAATTGCTGTTTGTCCGGTCTTGTCAATAGGCATAAGTTTGACTTCGTATGTCTCAACGAGGAATTCAATTATATGAATACGATTTTTCTTCACGGACCAATATATGATTTCGTTGATTTCCTGGGGCGTCAATGTTTGGCCGAGGCGTTTTTGCACTTGTTCGAAATCATACGGATTATGACGGCACAAATAATTCAAGCGTTCATACAGCTGAATGGTTCCCTTTTGTTGGTCGAGTCTTTTGCACTTGTCTTTTTTGCTTACGCTGGACATCTTGAAAATTCTAATAGAGAAAGAACAACAGTTAAACTGTTTGACTGCTTTTCCACGGGTACAATTGAGATCAAAGCACCAAACTGCGTTTGTTTACACTTTACGATTTTAGATCGTCCGGCCGTATTTATACGTTAAGCGATGAAATTGATCGATGTACCTGTATAGATATTTCTCAGCGCTGAATAGTAAATTTTAGCTCGATATACAGTTCAGCAGACTGTGACACTAATGCACATAGCTTCCTATCCCGAAATCCAACTTGAACGATCCTGATTCAACGGCAAGGCAGCAGAATCGGCTATGAGACTGTACAGTCTGAATTCACTTATTTTAAAGAGCAACGAATTTGTGGAACCACACGAGATCCCGCGCGGCGCAGTAGTTCGTCGCTCGCCTGCATTGAAACGACGCAGCGCTGCCATCGGTCTTCTTGATACATCCTATTCTAGCATTCCAATTTCCACCACGAGTTGCAATTCGATTTTGTAGTCTGCAGTTCGAACTTATTTTGATCTTTACATCACTCGCCTTTTCGTATTTTTCATTATGGGTACCGTCGCAAAGGAAAATACCAATATCAACGAAGATGTTGACACTGGAATGCCCTACGAGGCCACTGTCATCGAAAGTTTATGCATGAACTGTGGAGAAAATGTTAGTTCTTTTAGGTGTTATGTTTGTTTTTAACTAGATGACAATGATATTTACTCAAGTTTTTAAATATTTTATTTACAGGGTGAAACGAGACTGTTTCTGACTAAAATTCCTCACTATAAGGATGTTGTCTTAATGTCATTTGACTGTTCGCATTGTGGTTTCCAAAACAATGAAATTCAAAATTCAGGAAAGATTGAAGATAAAGGAATAAGAATTACTTTGAGAGTACAATCCAAAGATGATTTGAATAGACAAGTGGTCAAATCTGATTACACAAGTGTAAGTATACCTCATTTGGAGTTTGAAATTCCATCACAATCACAAAAAGGAGGTGCGTCGAGAATACTTTTTTGTTAAAATCAATGTTTTTGAACAAAATGACTAATTATTGCTTTTTGTTTAGGAATAACAACTATTGAAGGACTGATTGATCGCAGTATTGCTGGTCTTGACCAAGATCAAGAAAGACGGAGGTCAGAAAATCCCCAAGCTGCAGAGCAAATTGATAAATTTATTGAAAAATTGAAAGCTTTAAAAGATGTTAAAGAACCATACACTATATATTTTGAAGATATATCTGGCAATACAAATGTCCAGAATCCACTTGCTCCGCAAAAAGATAAGCAAGCTGATATTTCTTATTTTAAGAGAACCATGGATCAAAATCATATTTTAGGTATTTACATTGAAAATGAAGATAAATTACTGCAGCCTATTAATGAGGAAGAATATACATTGGAGGATATAGAAGGAGAAGTCATGACATTTCCTACCAACTGTCCAGAGTGCAATGCCCCTTGTCAAACTAATATGAAAATGACCAGTAAGTAGATATCTTTTATTTACAATTTTAGACAAGATAAATTTACTTACCTTTGATTATTATTTCAGAAATTCCTTACTTTAAAGAAGTTGTCATAATGGCAACAGTATGTGATGCATGTGGACATAAAACTAATGAAGTGAAAAGTGGAAGTGGAATAGAACCTCAAGGAGTGATGATCAAAATAGAAATAGAAGGAAAAGAAGATTTTAGCAGAGATTTATTGAAGTCTGAAACATGTTATATGCGCATTCCTGAACTAGACTTAGAAGTTAGCCCTACAACATTAGGAGGTCGCTTTACAACTGTGGAGGGTGTTATTTCAGCAGTTAGAGATCAACTATCAACTTCTACTGTTTTGACTGGAGATAGTGCTGATACAGAAACTACCAAGAGAATGGACAACTTTATTTCACAATTGAATAAAATCTTAGAAGGAGAAATGAAAGTTACTCTAATTCTTGATGATCCAGCTGGAAACAGTTATATACAAAGCTTGGCTGATTCTGGTACTGATGATCGATTAACAATTACAAAATATGAAAGATCATTTGAACAAAACGATGAACTAGGCATTAATGATATGAAAGTTGATAATTATTAAAATTTTATTGAAAAAATAAAGTTGTTTTTATGAATTGTAAATTTCTGAGTGACAAATATTATTCCTGCATGAATTTCTTCATCAGTTCTTCCTCGTCTTCTTCTTCCTCTATTTTCCTAAAAATGAACAAATTACATGTATCAATTTTGTTGATTAAAATAACATCCCCACAGAAACTCACGTTACAACAGGAACGGCATCCAGAATTTTTAAATTAGGTAATACTTTGATGCATTTTTCACGCCAAACTTCTTCTTCGAGGTTTTCAATGAGAGGATTTCCTCTGAACAAAAACTCTTCGAGCTTTGGTAAATCTGCAAGCTTATTGAATTCAACCCAATCCTTCACCAAATTATGCGCCATGTAAAGTACTCTGAGTGCCTTCAAACCGGAGATGCCTCGAATTTTTTCGATCTGATTGTAAGATATCCACAATTCTTGCAAATGTTCACCGATGGCTTCCAAGCCAGAAAACGTTTTAATGTTATTTCTTCCCAGAGAGAGAATCTTTAAATTTTTCAAGGAATTGATTCCGGTTATGCGATCGATTTGATTCGTCGATAACGATAATTTTCTAAGAAGATTTTTAAAATTTACTCAAGAGACTCGCGATTATAATAAATAATTGTGAATAGGTGACTAACTCGACTTTCTCTAAAACAGATAAACTATTATCCATTTTCACAATGGGAGGCCACTGAAAACACAGTAACACTTCTTTGGCGTCCTTTGGAGCTTTGTTATTTTTTTCTTTCCATCGTTCAATGGCTTCTTTACACGTTGTCGGCTTATAGGCCTAAATTACAAAAATAAAAATAAAATCACAACTTTTTGATTCAGAAAAATGTTAATAAAAATCAAAAATTACCATTTTTATTATTTGTAAAGCAGCAGCTACTCAAATTATTCGATAAAAAAAAGTTGATTAACCCTATGTTTATTATTTGGTTTGTCGATAATTTCAATAATAACAATTGGGAAACCCTATAACAACCTGATAACAAAATAATTCTAAACTTTATGATTTACATAGTGATCTTTAACTGTTGGAGTACTTTTTTAACTAATTAAAAGTTGATTATATTTATAAAAATTTCCTTGAATTACGTATTTTAAAACGCTTATTATTTGGAAACATTTATACTCTTACAAACGAAGCATCAAAAATTTATTCATAAAATAATTTCATCATTCCTATTATTCGAATCATTCTTTTTTTTGTACTTCCCGCTCTATAATTCGACCCGTCGCAGAAGTCATCATAACCGGCTTTTACCCGGATTGTGGACTGGTGTGTGAGAAACATGTGCGCCGTCCTTTCTTAAAAAGTACATCCACACGATAAACATGGCCGAAGTAAGTTTTACCTTTTTTTAATGAATAAACAAACTATTTCCTACAATCTCAGGCTAATATTAAACGATTGCTACTTCTTATACATTTAAGCAATAAAATCTGATTAATATCCATCAGATTTATGAAATGTAGATTAAAAAGAAAACGAAAATTTGTTAGGTTAAACAAGTCAAAAAGATTCCTAGAATTAATTGCTTATTTAATTTTCAGGTAGATGAAACCCTCAAAAAGAAAAGGACCTTCAGGAAGTTCACCTTCCGAGGTGTCGACCTGGATCAATTGCTTGATTCGTCAAAGTAAGTGTGAATATTAGTGCAATGATTAATTTTAATGTATGCGTTCAAACAGTGTTTTCCTTCAGTTCTTATTTGTATTCATGATGCCTTAATATAATCAACAATCAGTACATAGTTTTAACTCAATAATGGTATTTAAAATGACTTTGAGTAATATTAGCTGTTGAATTTTTTTATGGATGATAATTTATATACAATTTACCTACTATGATAATTTTTTAACTCATGGTGTTTTTATTACAGTGAGCAATTCATGAGTTTGGTGCATTGCCGTGCCAGAAGGCGTTTATCTCAGGGCCTGAAGCGCAAGCCTATGGCTTTAATCAAAAAATTGCGTAAAGCCAAACAAGAAGCCCCACCAAATGAAAAACCAGAGATTGTAAAAACTCATTTGAGAAACATGATCATTGTCCCAGAAATGGTTGGTTCCATTATTGGAGTGTATAATGGAAAAACTTTCAACCAAGTTGAAATCAAACCCGAAATGATTGGTCACTATTTGGGAGAATTCTCGATTACGTACAAACCTGTCAAGCATGGTAGACCCGGTATTGGTGCTACTCACTCTTCTCGTTTTATACCATTGAAGTAAATGAATAAAAAAAATTCATATTTATAACTCAAATTTCGTTTTTTTTCTAAACAAAAATACCATCACAAAAAAGCTATTAAAGTTAATCTTATGACCGATATTTGGAAAATATGGAACAACTATTTTTCATTGCATGTTTATTATTAATTTTTGCTTTTGACCCTGGTTATAAAAGTTGATTCTTATTCTTTTAAACATTGAAATGACTAAGTTTTCATAAGCACATACAATATTGGAAAATAAATGTGATGCTGTAAGAAGTAGAGAAAAATAGTAGGAAAAGTTTTATAAAATATATTCAAAACATTTTTTTTGTAATTAATTTTCGTCTTTATCTTTAATGATGAAATGATTACAGTTAAACATTTCGATTATTTATAATTTACATACCAATGAAAAATGAATGTGTCTGTTTCTAGAGCGCGATTAAGTATATTAATGTGGGATATAATAACGTTTTCTCCTTGCACAGATTTTTTTTTCAAATATAATAATTGAATCATACTTTTAAATCGTAAAACTACAATTGCTTTGTTAACAAAGGGATATATATATTTTTTATATATAATTATATACCTAGTATACTATATAAGAGCAAAATAAGACTGTATATACTATGCCGTAAATAAGTAAGAAAAAATGTCGCTTGATATTCACGAAAAACATTTTATACAGTATTTACACATTGGCGTATAAATAAACGCTAATCGCGTTATGATCGAATAACCCATCTTCATCGTATATCGTTTACATTCTTTTGGCAGAGTACGCGGAGATTACACTCTATATTTATATTGTATACGCAAAATAATTCTTATTTTTTGCATTATATAAAAAATCATCGCAGATGACAAAATTCACTGATAGAACAATTTACAAAAATACAATCAGAGAGTAAATTGGAAGAAATTGTATGCTGCATAGTAAATACATTTAAGATCGTATACAATCTTCCCACAATTTGTCCTTAATGTGTTGTGTATACATAGATGTTTGTATCTACTATGAACTTTTTTCATGATAATCCAATGTGCTCTCTTATTTTCAGTCGAAGAGAGAGTATAAGAGCATTGATCGAGAGGTGTTTACATGCGATGTTGCACTCAGTACATTTAAAGTCTCAATGAGTCATTGAACTCGAATGTATGTTTTTATCAAAAAAGGCAAATTTTTATAAATCACTGCTCAATAATTTAAATTAATTTACATTAAAAAGTGTCTTCGCCAGTTTTCAAAAAAAGTTAGTTGCAGATGAAAGTATGTTAGGTAAACAAGATATTGCAGTTGCATTCCTCCTTTGATGAAAGTTATGCATTCAATGCTGTACACTGTTTATTTGCAAATTTTGTTGCTTATAATAGTAACATTTAAATCATCATACTGAACGTTATTTTAGCACTTTTCTTTACAAATAATCAACTTTTAGCAGATATATTTATTTTTTACAAATAGTTTCATCATACCAATTTCGAATATTTCAATTCCATCATTGAAAATTTTCATTTCCGCTAAAAGTTTATTATTTTATGTTTAACAAGGTTTAAGTATCAGCAATAATAACACAGCAGTCTGCCAGCAGCGCAAAATTTATGCAATACTAAATATGTTTTATTTTATGCATTCAATTTACCCTTTTTCACAATAAAGATATGACAGTTTCGAATATTCATTAATTCATGCCTTGAATCTTCATCGAAAATCCATCGAATAATCGACGGACCAATCGGCAACTGTCACGATGAGGTACAATGGTTTTTATACGAAATAACTGAAATTCTTGCATATGACAAGCTTTTTTGTTTTCAATAGAGGCACAACGGATATACAATAACGTTTATAAAGTTAACTGCCTGCTATATTGTTTACATGTTTATATGCACATATATATTATTATATAATTTAATTTTGGAACGACATTAACACAAGAGCAAATAACATGCCAAATGAAATATCAGCGTCATCGTGCAAGGCAAAATAAACGACTGGCGTTTCACTGTTCTCATATGTATAGTCATAACACGCGTGTCACGTTGATATATTATTAAAATTTGCTATGTGGACAACGCTTGGTTGTTTCTCACTTGGCTGTACTATATTATTTTCGCTTTGAAACAGATAAGAAAGCGAAGCACATTCTCTTAATTTTTTTTATCATACAAAAATTGTATTTATCTGAGGGCGCGTTGTCCTAATACAAAAATCGTTTCGTTTCAGGTGTTATACAAAGATTATTGTTAGTTTATTTATGTATATTTTGTCTCTTAAATCATTCGTAGAACTGACCAAACACTTGAATCAACAAAAAAAAATTGAATAAAAATTATTTTGTTCGTGTATAATTATTATTACAGTCACACACCGCAATTCTCTCACTCATTTACGTTAAATTCATGAATTTTCTAAATTCCATCATGAATTATAAGCTATATACTTTAACAGTTATACGCGCACGATGCCCGTCACGAGTCTCTTCATTTCTCTCTCTTTCGCATTCCCTTTCACATATTTTTCTTTTCATTCTTGTTTTTTTCCTTATATTAATTTTTAATTCAGACACAAATACCTATATATAATACATATAAATATATAATATATACTGCAGTACGCACACTGGCGGGCTCGAGTTGAGTATATTATGAATTACTTTTTCACTAACTCTCGACCTTGTAGTTGCGCATTAGAAAATAATCTGGAAGAGAGCGAGGCAGAGACTAGCAGTTGTTTGGATCAGGCGGTGTAACTAGGTACTCATCCGCTCGTTTGTGATCCGAGAGTGCACGAATCGTATACGAATCTTGCGGCAACTCGCTTTTCCTTCGTAACAGCTGCTTAACTTTGTTTACGCTCGACACCTTCTTTACCTGCAGAACAGATTTTCAATGATTCGATTGGGTCGAAAAATGAAAATTACTTTGGAAAATGAGCGGAAAGAGCAGTGTGCAAGTGTAATCGGGCGTTTGTGTGCTATGGTTATTTTACGACATTTCAGCGACCTTTTAATCGCTTCAATTATTAGTCACAGTATATCACATACGCACAATTAAATAATGTGCATTTGATCTTGAAAAAACAATTAATCTTACAACTATAGAAAAAACAGATTTATTTAAAAATATCTAGCGTTCTACATTTACATTAAGATGACAAGGTATTCACATGAGTCAAGCATTGGTTTCTCTGTTTTTATCTGGCATGCGATATTTTAACTGCGGGAGATTATCTGCTAGTATGTTTAGACTCTCAAGTGCACTTACATTTTGTGCACTTACTTCATTGGCCTTAGCTTCGATTTTTTCGGCCGTAAGAGCATTGTCGCAATCGTCTTCGGTTGTCGCCGAATTGTTAAGCGGATTTATGAAGGGATTATTGTTCGGTACCCCGCTTTTGTTGGAGTAAGATGGATGCCTCATGGCCAAGGCTTCCACCTTCGTCCAAGCCTCGTCTCGATTTTGCAGCATTTGCCGTTCTTTCAGCTGGTCCTGAAATTCAAAGCAGTTATTCGGTCGATTTCTTTTTTACCGCAAGAGCGAATAAAAATTGCAATTGCTTACCTGCTCGTACTGTTTTGTGCACTCGTCAAACACCTTCTGATTCATCTCCATGAATAACTTGAGAGCATTGTAAATTAGACCGTGTATCGTTTTGTTCCAATGATTGCGCGAATTTCTGTACAGGGCTGGATACATTATCGGTAGAATTGTGGCGTAGTTATCCGATATGAGAGACATAATGTACTCGTTATTCCAATAATAAAGAGCTCGTTCGGCCACCTGCGAAAATAAACAAGACAAAAAGCGGTAAAGTAAAAGGCGAGAGAAGAAGAGTTCCACAAGCACTCGAGTATAATATATAGCAATGAAGTGGCGTATGCGTAAAGCGTACAAAAGAAAAAAGAAGATGTACGTGTATGTACTCACTTGAAAGTGTGGCGAGGAGACGCACTTGGCCAACTGTCTGAAGAGAGGGTCCATGACCTTTTGAAACTCCGCCGGCTCGATGACGTCGAGTATTTCCTCGAGCTCGTTGAGGAACATGACCTCCTTGGGCGAGTGGGTCTTGGGCCAGAACTTGAGCAGATTCTTGATGACGGGCTCGGTGAGCGAGGCGTCCTTCTCGAGGAACTGCACCACGCAGTAGGCCAACTGGGGATGATAAACCGAGAGCGATTTGGCCTTGTGCAGCGGCAGCAGCACCTTGAGCAGGAAGGTCTTGTGCTCCTCTTTGAGGGGCAGCGCGAAGCCGTTGATAATACTGCCGAGGATCTCGAGGAGCTCGGCGATGCCGTTGTGGTGCTCGGTCTCGTAAATGAACCGATAGAACACGTTGTTGATCTGCTTGCGTATGTAGGCCCGCAGCCCCAGGAATTTGCCGTAAATCCTGTGCAGGGTTGTCTTGAGAAAGTCGCGCTCCCTAGGATCCTCGGAGTCGAAGAGCTCTAGCAGCTGCAGGATGAACTTGTGATCGATGTAGCGCTTGGCCACCGACGGCTGGAAGTCCGGCGACTCCAGTAGGCGCAGGAAGAACTCGTACACGAACTGGAGATGTGGCCAGGCTACCTCGAGCGTAGGCTCATCCTCCTCCGGATCGAACTCCGCACCGTTTGGATTCTGTGAAGGCGGCAGTGTGCGAAACAGATTTACGGCGAACTGCGAACGGAGAGAAAACAGAACAATGAACGACTGATGAAAAAGCGTTGTTACAGTGTTGGAATTAAAGAATTTTCACCCTTTCAAGGTGCGCGGCGCCTTTAGGCCATTTTTATATTTTTTATACCGGCTTTACGTCGATCTCCGACCTTGGTTAAGAGCTTTAGAGCTTTTTCGTGTTCGAATCCAATGAGCTTTTTCCCCCGATTTTATGCTACGACGCGAGGCAAAGGGAAGCGTTTTCATTTCACTTAGTCGATGCACAGACTAACGCACCCTTTAATTGTTTTTCGCCGTTTCTCACGCGACCTATCAATGAACTCAATTAAGGAAATGCCAATCTTGTTATGTGAAATTCTACTAGATATTTTCCTGAAAAGCTCCCAAGTGGCCTTGTGAATATCAAAATTGCTGTTAAGACAATGTCCAATAGGAGTTTAAAAAAATGGTATTGAACAATTTGATTTCAATGTTTTTTAGAGTATCATTTAGGCTGGTTCTTCCCTTTCATAAGTAATGGCATTACCAAGCTCGTAACGGTGTGCATGTGTCCAATTAAACGGAGCTGTATTGATTTTATAAAATACTGCAGTTTTTTATACACGTACGGATGTAAAAGTGAAACTAGTGCGATTTTTCTTTTCATAATATAGATTGATGCAAATAAGCATGAAGGTTCGTAAATAAATATGTATAATTTTAATCGCATACGAAAGCTACTTTTTTATCGAGCACATAATCGATCTCTATCGCTTATAAGTATATACCCACCATATTGACGGCCTCTGGATAGATCGCCTCGGTGATGACCCCGCGATTTTTCGACACGTAGTCGACCATCTCCTGGAGGGCGTTCCTCTTGATCTCCTTCCATTGCAGGTCCGAGAGCGGATCGAGCTCGAAGTCGAACAGTACGCAGCATTGCTTGAGCTTTAGCTTGAAAAGCTCCTCGCGATCCTCCGGTGGAACCTCTGTGCGTGGGGAAAAAAGAAGGATGAATATAAGTCAAGTATAATTGCAGCTTTCGAAGTATGTAGTTTCGATATTATGCACGTGAAGAGTATATATAGAGTTGAGGTGAAACGATGAATTTATCATGAGTTAAACGGTGGAGCTTTAGCCATATGGTAATGACGTCATTACAAGCCTTTGTGCTTGTATCTACAGAGTACACAGACACACACGGACACTTACGTACACGTCAAAGTCGCATCGATATTTCATGGGACTGGGCAAGTGTCAGTTAACTTATGAACGAAACTACAATACAGAAATAGATGTCAAGAGTTTCAGGAATTTTATTTCTTTCTCACTGTTGTTCGCGAGGACGTCCTCGTGTCGGCTATTAAAAGTTCAAAACAAACAGGCGAACGGAAGAAATGTTTCCATTACATATATATTAATAACGTTTAATGTCCGATCGCAAGCACACGATCAGCTTGAATATGCTCGTTCTACTTTCGACGCGAGATTAGATTCAGCGGATAAAACTCGATTATTACTTTGTGTACGTGCGTCTATGTGATATGCATGTTTGTATTTTTTTTTCTCTCTCTCTCTCTCTCTCTCTCTCTCTCCCTCTTTCTTTACTCGTTTTTCATCTTCAAAGGCTGCTGCTGCTGCTACTGCTACTACTATTACTACTACTCTTGCATCGGAAAACAAGAAAGTTTGTTGTTCGTCAAAGCTGCGCGTGGAATTTGAAGCATGTCACGAATTTCATACGGCGAGTGTATAAATCGCATAATAACGCAACTTTCGCAACCTTCGCGACGGATAGAAGGCAATAATAATAGTAATAATAACAACAATAATGGCACCGCGATTCTTGCCGGGGACTCCGAAATAACGATCGATCGTTCGATCGATAGCTCTCTTGGGTATGCGAGTTCGAGCTTCGACTCTGTCTTTTTTTTTTCAATGCATATGAACGCGGTGCGTCGTACGCGCCTTTGGATCGGGACGTGAAATCACACCCACGACACAAGCGGCATACAATGCATCGCGTTGTGTCGGAAGTGAAAACAACACAACACGGCGAGCTTGCGCCGCTCGTGCGAGTGCGTATACGGTAATGCATATTATATATAGAGGTATCCGAGCAAGACTATACGGAATGACGAAAGAATATCTGTCTCTATTTCTCTCTCTTGGCGAGCGCGAGACGATGCACTTGGCAGAATTTCTCGCTATTTTGCGCGCGGACTTATCCTAAATTATCATTTATATATGAGCCACAAGAGTATTTATAACGTCGGCTTCCTCTTTCTTTCTCTCTAGCTGCGATACCGAGAATGATATATATGAGTGTGTACAGCAGCGGCGACGGTATTATCATCAAGCGCAGCATCAGCAGCAGCAGAGAGCAGCCACCCACACGGTAACCCCGTGAGCAAGCGCGCGCGCACGCCTAGATTTCTCTCAGCACACCTTCTCTCTCCTCCGCGCCCTTTGCCCCCTTATGTATGTAGCAAAAAAGGCGCTTTTCCCGGGGGAGGGCCGAGTCTATGTGTATTTCATATGAGTCTTTACCAACGCTTGTGCCATATACGTGTATCAGCTAGATACATACCGACGAGCAACGGTTGCAAGGGCTGATACTGCAACGCCGAAGCCGACGTCGACTCGTAAAATTTTCCATAACCGTTGACGACGTTGTTGTCGTTGTTGACGACGTTGTTGTCGTTGTTGCCGCCGCCGCCACTGCCAGCACCGCCTCCTCCTCCTCCACCACCTCCTCCTCCGCCTCCGCCACCGCCACCGTCGTCCTGACCGGTGTCGTTGTTGGCGTTCTCGGCGGCGTAAGCCAAGCCCTGATGAAAGCTCGGGCTCTTGGGTATGCCGGCGCCTAGCGGCGGTCCCATGTCCGTGACGTGCACCATGCCAGTAGCAGCGGTGGCGGCTGCCGCGGTGATGCTCGCAGCGGAATTGCTGCCGATGCCGCCGCTGCTGCCACTATTACCGACGCCGCCACTACCGCTGCTCGTCGGCGGCGGTGGCGGTGGAGGAGGATTGTTATCGTCGCCGGTGCCGCAGTCGCCGCCGCGCGACTTTTTCACCTTGTACTTGATCTTTCTTGTTTCTTGGTACAACCGCGTGTATTATTTACGACGATGCACACGCGACGTGTTTACGCGAATAATTTGTGTCTAGAGCCACCACCGCTGCCGCTGCTATTGGTGCGCTAGTAGTAGTATATATCGGCGATGACGAAGGTGACGACGACGTTGATGAGAGTGAGATATCGAACGGGCGACTGCACAGCGGAATATACACTATGACACTCGACGTCGACGACAGCGAGGCACGATTTATAATAGCTCTTGCACTAGTTTTCCCTCACACATTCGCACACACACATAGACAAGTGAGCCTTGCCACTTCAGTCTCGTGTATTGCAGCATAGACACACTAATGCAAATACATACACACCGACCAACAGAAGCGGCTTTATTGTACGAATTTTCTTTTTACGTAAGTTTTCGAGCACAATTCGCACAGCAGCGGCTTAGTTACGAGCCAAAACCAGGCACAGGCAGTCAGGCTGGATTAAATGGCACGTCACGCGTCGGGTGCGCGCGTGTGCGGGGGGACGACGACACTCTGCTGTTCCTGCTGCCGTGTACTGCCGCTTGTCTATTTTATTTCGAAATGACAAGTCTAATCGGACGGTCTGTCGCAGGCGCGCTGCACTCCGTACACTAAATACACGATGATTTATACACTTTTATAATGTGCGCTCACACGCCTGTGCGATGTACGTGTGCGTCTAGCATTTATATGCATACCCACGTACAGAGAGAGAGAGAGAGAGAGAGAGACAGACGAGATTACGCTCGATTCAGCGCCATATAATCCGGCCCTGCGCCGAAGGATGATCCCATTAGCAGAGTGCGCGAAGGCGGTAGTAGTAGTAGTACTATGGCATTTCTCGATCGTCTCGCTTGTTCTCACTCGTACACTGGTGAATCTGTCTCGATATTACGTTTTCTTCTGCTTCGCGCCTATATTATGATGCAGTAACAGCAGACACACAGACACACATACACATGCACTGTATGCACCGTGTCTCGATTGCACTCGACAGCGAGCGAGAGAGAAGTGCGCGTGCTGTGTATTGACGTTGTCGTCGTCGTCGTCGTCGTCGTCGCACACCTTACTCTATTATATTACGCGATCGCTCGATATTTTTTCTCGCTATCGCGCGAGAAGATAAAATGTGCGATGCGTGGATGTATGCACAAACACACACGTACACAAGTTATAGGAGCACGTTACACACGCACAATCGCGAATCGGAGTCTTGCATTGGTCGTGCACAAGTATACGCGAGATACACTCGAGTATGTAGTTACACACTGACTAGTCTCGGACTGCTACTGCTGCTGCTGTTGCTGACTGAGAGAGCTCGGGCTTCTGCGGCCGGTTTCTCGCGCATGTACACCACGACTACGAAACGCGACCAGCCAATGTTTCATAGCCCTCCTATGCGTGTATGCTTTTTTGCAAGACTCTGGCCCGAGCTTGTGTACGTAAGTGCATACATACACGAATGAGCTCATGTGCGTGTGCGAATCGGAGTCGACGACGTACACGTACACATACACACGCGCGCACTGGACGCGCCTGCGCGCGGCTCTTCGTGCATTTACCTGGCTGTGCGTTTGTATGCGTGTGCGAGCGCGTATATATACCGTGTATTTTATAACTCGGCTCGAGCTCGGCTCTCGAGGCAGCTATACGCAGCAGCAGTGCCTGGCGATGCTCGTATATATATAATAGTAGCCGAAGCCGCAGCAGCTAGCCTAGCCTAGCCTAGCTAGCACACACACGACTCCGAAAAGCGCTACGACGCGGCTGTACCGGTAGAGGCGCGCGCGCCACTATACTGTCTTCCTGATGTAGCACTTATATCCATGAGCATCGTCTCTATTGTATATAAATTGAGGAGTGTGTGCATACCCCCAGGTGGTCGTATGTCTGTATATATGTATTTTACAAGTCCAGATCGATTGGCTTCGCGTTTATATTGTTACGTGGGCATGCCGCACTGCACCGAAAGTGCAGCGGCTGTTCACGTAACTATTTGCAGCGCCAAGGTGCGAAAGCACCTGCCGCATCGCACTCGAGTCAGTCCCACTCCATTCGTATGACAGTAGCTATCATTTCTTTATGTCTCTCTCGTGCTCTCCCCCCAATCTACCACGTAATTCTTGTGTTATTATTTATTTGCCCCCTTCCCACGTATCATTTGGTGTCAGAAGTGCACGACAATATTATTGCCGTGAGTATCGTACATGAGAGGGTCAAGGATTACTCAAAAGGGAANTGATTGCAACGACTTTTCGTAGCTTATTACGTCGAAGCTCGACGACTGATGTTGCTGCGGTATCACCGACAACGTCGTTTTAACCTGTTGATGATGATGCTGCTGCTTTTTGTCTGCTTCCGAGGAGAAAGTAATTAGTTAATGTACCTCAGAAAGAGTACCGCAAAGAAAGAGTACAGGGAAGTATCTCGATCGCTGGTTGGACAACGAGGATAACGAGGAGATGGACTAGACGGAAGCGGCGAAGTTACGCTGGTACGCCGACAACAGAGTCTTGACAAAAAAGTGCAGCAGCAGAGAGTGGTGGTTTTCGGCTAATCGCCCGTTGAAATGCTTGGCCGTGATCGAGACGGTGGCGTCGACGTGTGACAGACCAAATCAGTGGGCGGCGAGTTGCTGAAATTTTCCACCTTCAGCCGAGTCTTGAGTGAGCTGCCATGGCGCTTGACAGCAACAACTTTTTGTAGCTTATCACGTCGGAGCTCGACGACTGATGTTGCTGCAGTGTCACCGGCCACGTCGTTTTAACCAATGGATGATGATGCTACTTTTTGTCTGCTTCCGAAGAGAAATTAATTGGTTAATGTACGAACTAATTAACCTTTGAAAAATATAACTACTTTCGTTATCGATTTGACTATTTAACTGTCACGCAGACGAAATCAATGCAATCAACCGAATTTGACTGTTCGCATTACACGGCTCGTTTTCTCATACTCTAACACCATAAAGAAAGAGTACCTCTCGCCGAAGAGCTTGCAGTGCAGCAGCGGAAAACTGAACACGATACGGCACTTGGACTTGGCGGGCTTGAATTTCTTGTCCTTTATTATCGTCGGGCTTATTGCGATGAAACAATTAGTCATTTACTTTCACGGTTAATCACTCGGAATGAAACCAAGTAGTTCTACAACCGGCATCTACGTGAAGTTTCTAACGAGCGGATACAGCCGCTATATTCACTCGTACTCGTATTAGCCAAATTGCTATTTTTCGATTTATCTACTTGCGGGAATTGATGCAGACCAGGGATTTCTGGCAATTTTACAATTTATTTGAATAGCAACTTCGGAATAACAACGGCGGAGGGAAAGGACGAAATAACGGAGCAGACGAGGATATAGACCGCATTTATGAAGCATCGCAGTGGCTGTGAAAATTTATAGCGACACTGACGCGCGCGCCTCAGGATTAATAGCACACTTATGAGATCTTATTAACGGGCCTCGTTTACTATCGGCCACTGCCTCGATCCTGCCCCGCGCCGCCGTCTACGTATGTGCGCCTGCAATGGCTCTACCTACATATATAATACCTATATAAAGTGCGAGTGTGTGTATACCTCGTGCGCAGCCATCCTTATATGTAGGGGAGAGCGGGGCAACTGTGGCATGTGGGGCAACTGTGGCATCTTGTTTTTTTTCAATGAAAATGACTTAATTAAAAAAATTGTCATTGAAAAAAAACAAGATGCCACAGTTGCCCCACATGCCACAGTTGCCCCGCTCTCCCCTATCCATAACTACGCACATACGTACAGAATGGCTTTTGCTTTTGCTCGAGTCGCCGCGGTTGCCTCGGCTCGCACAACTTCCTCTCTACAGACATTACCGTAGAAGCTGAGCTCATCCTAATTTTCTTCGAGGAAAAAGTATCGCCGTGATAAGTGATCCGAGACAAAACGGTATTCTTTGTTTTATCTTTTTTTCGCGCCCATCAAGAATCGAGTGCCAAACTGTTGTGTGCCCTTTAACGCGTCGACCAAAAACAACGCAGAGTCCGGTCCTTGATACGTCGAGCGTGTACATGGCAGAGAGTACTACTAATAAAACTGTCTCTCATCCCGATTGCTCGAATTTTTTTCAATCCGATTGTCGAGTCGTGACTCGCGACCGTCAACTGCAGTCGCTGTATTGCGTGTGTGTGTGTGTGCCCTTCGAGGCCATGCCGCCAACGAGCTCGAGCTGCGGAACAATCGGACGCGCTTGATTACGTGCTTGCCTCGCGTTAATCAGCTGTGCGGCACGCGTAATCGCCTGCAATGTCAATGGATTCGCGCGTCGAATCGACGAATCGCTGCGACGCGCGAGGGTGACGATTTTTCTCTTCTCTCTATCGTTATTTTTTTTTATCTATCATCGCTTAATAATGAAAAAAAAAACTGTGCACCACGTGCCTCGACTCGAGACAACGTACTATACGAATCATGATGATTATTATGCTGCTGCCAATCCGTGAACGCGCGTCAACGTTTACATTGGCACACACGGGCGTGCGGTGCAGCAGCTCTTTGTCGAGCGCGAATTTCGCGCGAGTTCCGTTAATTCCACGAAACGCGCAGAAATCG